ATTATTATTTTCAATAATAGAAAATAATCAAATCGATATAGACATTATAGATAATTATAATTATTATTACTATTATTATTATTATTAGTATTATTATTATCATTATTATATTAATGGTATTATTATTATTATTATTATTATTACTGTTATATATAAAACATAGGACGGCTCTCTTCCTCACGTGACGCCAACGTGAATCTCGTTACTTACATTGATAGATAATAAGCGCCAATTTATTCCAATTTCGATCGATCATAACGATCGTGTGCCAAAATCACGATAATTTATATCGACGTTGAGAGAGAGATATGAAACAAAAGAAAAAAAAGAAAAAAAATATGATAATTATTGTCGCAGTTCCATTTAAGAAACGTTCGATGTGATTTCAAGAGATACGGCAAGTTGCCAAGACAATCCTAGTAACGCGTGTCAATACGACGAGAAATATATAGTTTCAATTATATAAATATATATATATATATATATATACACATATAAAATATGCAGTATATTTAAGCGAAAAACAAAATATATATATATATGCATATATAAATTAGTCTTTACGGAATACATCGACCGATAAAAAGACGTCTGTTAGATCGATATTATCGAATATTATAATATATATATTTACGAGAGAAAAAAAAAAAAAAGAAAAAGCAGAGAGGCGAATAAGTATCTTCATTACGGCTAACGACTGTTTAAAACAAATAATAGTAACTTTTTAAACACGAAGTTCTTCCGACTTTAAACATGTTACGCAAATACGTGTGCCAACCTTCGAGCTTTAATATTATAATTATTATTATTATTATTATTATTATTATTCGTTTTTTCGTTCGTTCATTCGAAACGATCTTTGTGAAAAAAAAAGATGAAGTAGAGGAAAACAAGATAAAAATATATATATATACTTATTTACATATAACATAATATATATATATATATGTATATACATACGGCGAGATATATATATATATATATATATACCATGTAGGTAAACGGAAACTTACTCTCTAACTTACTATTAGTTAGCCCTTCTCGTAGTTCCTCGTTTTTGTCGCAGATAATCTTTAGATTATCTTTCGTTAATATCCTACGTTATCTGTTTATACACTACCGGTAAAAAGTTTGGAATCACCTATGTAAATTCCCCGAGAAACAGAATATTTATATATAAGAGAGAAAAAAAAGTGGATCAACTTGAGGAATAATCGAGATAAATTAATATTTGTCGAAAAAATATTTACGAGAAATATATTGACAAATTTTTCCATTCTATATAGAATTTTTGTGTATCGAGTAGCAATAATTATTTTTCTTTTAATTGCCCGTTTCATTCGAACAATAACAAAAAAATCACATCGTATTTTTTATTCTGACATTATTTCGAACATCCTGGCAATTAGTTTTTCGAGTGATTGAATATTTTTTTCAACCCTTTTTGAAAAAGTAATCGTCAAAAATAATCCAATAAGAATGTTCCATTCCGAACGTTGTTTTAAAATGAACGTATGAACTATGAAAGAACATTATGAAGGTAATAAAATGTTGCGAAATCTTCGAAAAAAAAAAAAAAATAATCTGACTTGTTAATAATTGATAAAAAAAAAAAAGAAACAAAAATCAGCAAGTGATTCTAAACTCTTGGCCGGTGTTAGTGTATTTTTCATTCAATTTGCACGATGTTATGCGTTTGCTTGTGTTATCGATCTTGCTTCGAAAGACTTTCCTATTTTTGGCGAATCTATTTCCACATTTGTATCTAAGAACGTTGTTTTTGTCCGAATTGAACGATCGATTCATTGATCGAGATTCCTTTTATTCGTTTTTTCTTCTTTTTTTTTTTTATTTAATTTCATTTTTATAAACTCTTTTACTCTGAAATATATTCATTTACTCGCCTCGTCGTTTTTAGATGCAATTGGAATTTTAAATAAACGATCAACAATATCTTTTTCAATCGATGACTCTCAACTCATGTCAGCTTCGCAGAAAACGTTATGTATTATTTATTCTTTTATAATTTTAATCGATCATAAAATTGTTTTTCGATTCGAATTTGACTTTCGTTTCCTTTAGTTCTTTTTTTTTTCTAATCATTTTTTTAATTTTTTTTCTTTTGATATCGTATCGTATGAAAAGAAAAAAAAAAGAAAAAAAGGGGAAAATAATTAGAAACCACCAATGAACAAACGTTGTGTGTGTGTGTGTGTTGTCAACTTCGAATCGAATAGATTTTCGAAGCTCAAGAGAACATGTACTTGACTGCATAGTATTTTTCGATTTTTGGAAATACTTCTCTCTTATACGATCTCCGTTTCCATTCACCTAATCATCATCACTCCTTTTCCTACTTCAATAACACTAGTCACAAAATTCATGGGAAAAAAAGTCACGTTGGGTTCGATTTTTCTCGTATTATCTTCCCCATTCATCACGCACATCTTTCTTTCCACGTATTTAGCTAATGTAGATAGCGATATCTTTTTAGAACATGCGAAATACGTACGTATTTATTAATTAATATGTATATATATATATATACATATACATATACGAGTTATTCGTTCGTACGCTTTTAATAGGAGCGAATGACTTGATCATAGGCTAATTATTGTTATTATTATTATTAATTATAATAATAATAATTATTACTTACACACATATTTGTTTTATTAATATTTATTTTTATTTATTTTCATTTAGTGTACTATCCCTTTTTTCGTTTTTGAATGAGCGCTTTCTTCTCTCTCTCTCTCTCTCTCTCTTTCTTTTCTTTTTCTATCTATCTTTCTCTTTTCATACCATTTCCAAGTATTTTATGTATGTGTTTACTCCAAATCTTTTCCGACCGATCACATGTTCCTTATACGTGTTCGATGAACGACGGCTCTTATCACGCAATCGCTAAAATTAAAAAGAAAAAATGTTTGATTAAAAAATTCTAAAACGAAAAACAAAAAAAAAGCAGAAGAAGAAGAAGAAGAAAAATAAAACAAAGCACAACGATTGTAACACTTTACAAATCGTCGATATAAATATTATTGTTAATCGTTTTAAAAAACAAAAAAATCGTACGAAATTTTGTAAATATTAATCCTTAAATCAAATACGATTAAAAGAAAAGTAATAATTAACGTTAATATGATCTTTTATATGTGATGATTTTCATATTATCCGTTTTTCTCGATTGAA